AATATCCTTCTTTAACTCAGAGCATTCATCTTCCAGCTTTCTCTTCTTGCCTGTCAGTTCAGCATTCATCTCCTCCTCGTCCTCCAGTCTTTCTGTCAGTTCCTTGATTTTTGCTTCCAGTTGAATCTTACTCTTGATCAGGCCCTCACATCGTTCCTCAGCATCAGACAGATTATCTTGCTCCTTTAATCAAAAGAAATTAACATGTTTTACAGAATGGTTATAAAAAGCTGTGTTAAAACATTAAAAATCACAGTTTCAACATACAGTTTGGACTTGGAGCTGCAGGTCATTCTTCTCTTGGAGAAGAGAGACCATTTTCTCCTCTAGTTCCTTCCTACGAGCTTCTGATTTTGCATAAGCCTCTTTGAGTTTGGTAAACTCCTCCTTCATGTTGGCCATCTCCTTCTCAGTCTCAGCTGATTTTAACAGAGGTTTGATCTTGAAGTACAACTTCATCCAAGGCCAATTCTTGACCCCCATGAAGGCGCGGATGTTCCACTGAATCACAAGTAGTGCGTCCCTGTGTGTATTGGAAGTTGTATATTATAAGTAAACTTGATGACTGAATTGTGTCAATAACATTGTTCCTTTTATTTATATTACTATTATTATTATTATTATTATTATTATTATTGGGGTAATTGACCTTCGTTCCACAATCTTTTGGAATTCAATTCGAGCCAGAAGACCTCGTGAGCGAGCTTGGATGCCAGTGATAATTAATGCCAGCCGATCATCTCGCATCTCCTCTAGCTGACCCAGAAGTCCAGCCTTGAAGAACACCTTTTAATAGATACAACAAGGTTTAATCCCTGATCTAAGCAATGCATAGACTTCATAATCTGTTAATGTTCGACCTACTTTGGTGTGCCCAAGTTTGTACTGGTTGTGGTCTATATCCAAAGACCCCAACAATTTCTCAGCAGCTTTTTTGTTGTCAATGAATTGACCCTCAGGAATGGCATTGGGGTTTAAAATGCGATATCTTAAACAAAACAGTGTGTCAGCGTCAAATCTTTTGAATTAGATTTTTAATTTCCCTTCATCAAAAACAACAAACCTCTGCTTGAAGTCTCCATAGAGGATCCTGTTGGGGAAGCCTTTCCTACAGATCCTGATGCCTTCCAGCACACCATTACAGCGCAGCTGGTGCATCACCAGAGGGTTCTCCATGGCCCCAGGAGTCTTGGTCTCGTTGGGGATGATGCAGCGTACAAAGTGGGGGTGGGTAGACCTCAGGTTGGTCATCAACTTATTCAGGTTCTCCTGAAAGCACATGTTTATTGTCAATGGATGTCTCACAGCCAAGTAGACTTTGTCTTTTCGATGTTTTATGACTGTTAAAAATAATCTTACCCTGTGCAGGGCAGATACAGTTTGGAAAGATGAACCTTTCTTTTTAGTTCCACCCTTGCCTTTTCCTCCAGATTCCTGAACTAAAAGTTATTAACACAGTATTAAATAGAAGAAACAATCCAAACCATATGTAGATTTATTGTTTTCAAATAACACAGTTGAAATAAATCAAAAAGAAATAACGCATGGATTAAAGATGCATATTTCTGGTCTAACGTTCATTCAGTATTTTCTCCATGTCATACTAATTACCTACCCACCCATTGTTTAAATTGGTGATCTCCATAGCAACCTATAATGTTCATGCTGAAACAGAGAAACAAATATGCTAACAGCTACTACTGCCTAGCCATTTATCAACAGTTAAGAAGACTTTATTTCTTGGCTTTAAACTTCTTTAATAATTTATTTGACACCACATCTCCATATTTTAGCACCATGAATGATGATGAATCAAACTATCATGCTCACATATATTTGGGTGTCTAGTTGAGTTAATATTATTTAGTTAGATTAGTTAGTTATCGTTTAATAATTTGGGTTTGTCTGATGGAATTCTGCGTGAACAGTCAGATGACAAATATGCTTCACATTTGAATTTGATTCATTATGAAGACCTTAGCAAGCAAAATGGAACCAAAAAACCTTACCTGTTCTTATATAAAGGGGCATCTACCATGTCCCCTTATTTAATAATAAGATATGTTTTAAAAGGAGTAACTCATACCTGATTAAATACATACCTGAATCGGCTCCTGCATAGTTTGCAAACAGAATACCAAGCAGTTTGAGTGTAGACTTCTGGTACAGCCCAACAACGGTCTCATTCAGAGGATCCTTGTTCTTCACCAGCCAGTTGTTGATATTATAATCAACAGTTCCAGCATAGTGGACCAGGGCAAAATGGGCCTCTGGTTTGCCTTTGATAACTCTAGGCTTCTGGAAGTTGTTTGATTTCCCCAGATGATTGTCATAAAGCTTAGCTTTAAATGTAGCATCAGAGGCTTTGGGAAACATGCACTCCTCTTCAAGGATGGACATGATACCCATGGGCTAAATAGAACAGAAATACCAAAATTAAAATTTCACCAGAAAAAACATGAGAATTTATGATAAATCTAGCTGAAAATAAACAATAAAATATCACCTTTTCAATCAGGTCAATACAGGCCTGCAGATCCATACCAAAGTCAATGAACTCCCACTCTATTCCCTCTTTCTTGTACTCTTCCTGCTCCAGCACAAACATGTGGTGGTTGAAAAACTGTTGCAGTTTTTCATTTGTGAAGTTGATGCACAGCTGCTCGAAGGTGTTGAACTAAAAAAGAAAACATATCTTTGTTTCATTTAGATTACTTTTATAGATCCGTTTATTATTTGCAAATAAGATAACTTACATCAAAGATCTCAAACCCAGCAATGTCCAGCACTCCAATGAAGTACTGACGAGGCTGCTTGGTGTCAAGAGACTGATTAATTCTCATGACCATCCACAGGAACATCTTCTCATAAACCGACTTAGAAAGTGCACCAATAGCATAGTACACCTTAACAAGGAAATGATGAAGAACGCTGTTAAAACCTACCAATATATTGCATATAAATCTAAATACACTGAAAGTTCTTTGTACTTACCTGGGCAACATTTTGTCCCTTGGTGACCCACTCATTCCCCACTTTGACCCTTGGGTGACAGAGACCTTTGATTAGGTCAGCAGAGTTCAGGCCCATCAGATATGCAACTTTGTCAGCATCTAGTGAAGTACAAAGAACATGATTTATGTGTATACAAATACACATATCCATTGAGTAATTGTAGATTGTTTTTGAATGCAAATTTTATCCAACTAAATTTGATTTCACCAGATCAAAAGGACTGTTGAACAAAGAGACTGGAACTTATTAATTTATTTTTGTAGTGTCTTGACTGAAGAAGTTAAGATGGTATAATCATAGTTCTCTCTTTTGGTGTTAATATTTATTTGTTTTGAACATTTTAAATGTCATTATCTATAATGCCCATATACTAAGATTGTTACCTTCAGTTCCATCTGCTTCTGCCTGCTCTTCTCTCTGCTTTTGCTTAAATTTCATGTTTCCAAAGTGCATGATGGCACCAGTCATTTTGTAAATACTGTTCTTCTCTTCTTGAGTAAAGCCCAGCACATCAAAGGCATCCTAATCACACGTAACATTTTGATATCCAGTTAGTTGTCATCAATTGTTTTTTTTTTTCTGTATGCTGTTTCTGCTAATATTTTAAAAAGTCAGCTCACATCAGTAGCCATCAGCTCCTCGGAGTCATTGATGGAAGCCACTGTTGTCTCTCCTTGGGAGATGAATGCGTAATCATAGGGGTTGTTGGTGATGAGTAGCATCTCTAGAAATTCAGGAAATACATTAATAGTAAAATGTTTTTTTTTAGGTAAATCCATTTAAAAATACAAAAACAGAAATCAGTTTGAGCAAAGTTCACACAATTACCCAGAAGTTCAGGCTTTGCCTGAGACAGGATCTGGTAGAAAATGTGATAATCCCTCTCAGCTTTAAGCTGGTAGGTGACACGTGACTTTTCCAGGAGATCTGTTGGGAAAATAATCTATTATTCTCGGCAGAAATGGGCCAACACAGCCTTGAAGTATGTAGTCATGGTACGTACAGGTTTCAATGTCAGCAGAGGCAAGCTTTCCTCTATTGTCAAAGTGGATTCGGATGAATTTACCCTAAAAGAAAAAGAGTTGTTGAATTTCTTGACTTTACCTGACGAATAATTATTTCCAGAACCAAAGTCACTTACAAATCTGGAGGAGTTGTCATTCCTGATGGTTTTGGCATTGCCAAAAGCCTCCAGAGCAGGGTTAGCCTGAATGATTTGATCCTCCAGGGTACCCTGATGAAATCGAACCATACCACAATATCCACTTTATGTAAACCGAGTAAAAGCTTTATATTTTTCCTGGGATTTAGAACAAGAAATTAAACACAAACCTTTTTTTCACTTGCAGCATCTTTTTTACCACCGGGCACAGCAGCAATGCTGGCAAAGTACTGAATGACACGCTTGGTGTTTACAGTCTTTCCAGCTCCAGATTCTCCGCTGTGTAAAAGACACAAGAAAAGT